TCTCCTCTGGAGCATGGGACAGCTACCTCCTAAACTCTGGGGCTTCCCAGTTACCCAGAAATACAGCTTGCTAAATGTGAGAGAGTAAGATGGTCCAACTTTTCAGCTTTCAATATAAGCCTGATACCAGAGCTAGAACGAGCTATTTGGTGGTGCTTTTAAGAGCTTAACCCTGAAGCCCTTACTCAGACAAAACTCCTGTTTGAGATGTATGAGCTTTCCAAGTAAGATGAATGGAAGAGATAGGGTACCAGGCTAAGCACCTGCAACTCACATTAGGATATTCAGTCCCTTTCTAGTTTTGTCCTTAAGTACTTATTTTTTTATTCACAGATCAGAACACATTGCTGCAAATGGCTGATCGTTAAGCTGTCACTTTTAAGATGGCACGTTAAGCTGTAACTCCTGATCTGTTTGCAACTCAAATTCTGCTGCCCTGGGAGGAAAACATGCAATGACTGACCTGTAACTTCCAACCTCCTTTTGCTCCCTCAGCTAAGCTGTGCCAAGCACAGCTCCTGTACACATCGGCCACTGGCGAGAGAAGGGACAACACAAGTGAGGGAAACCCACAGGGCTACGTTCCCTTGCTGTGCAAATCTTATACCTCCCGGGACCTGAGCACAGCATGCTTCCTCCCCTCCCTTGATTAAACAGGATATGAGATTTTGGGATGTTCTTGCCCCAAAAAAGCCACGAAGGAAAACCAGAGAAAGTCTGCTGCTGCAGGGGAGCATGCTGCCTTGCCTCACCTCGCCTCTACATTTTGTCTGACAACTAGCTGCAAATGAAATTCCACATTTCACTTTTCAAACAGAGAAAATGAAGGTTAATGACAGCTCACACTCTTGAAAAGGTTAACCAAGTAACTGTTTTAAAATCCTTTAAACTTACTCTTTAAAGAAAATGGTTACATAAACTATTGAAAGTCAGGAAATTCGAGCTGAAACGTGTCAGTCTGTGGTTAAAAAATGGAAAGTGACAGGAGCCAGGGGTTGAAGAACATTCTCTTTAGCTTGCAGGGCTTCTACCTTGTGTTGTTTCCTTTGTTACTGGGGGAAGAAGATATCAAAGCAGCGCTATTTTCTTAAAAGGTTCCATTTCATGGTGTCTTTTGATAGCCTGCAGGGTTAGGTAGATGGTCTATGATTTAGCCTACTTTTCTATCTGTTAAAATGTCTGTTAGGATAGTTTGCATTATGTACTGCTACTTGTTTGATTGGCTACAGAACATAATATGAAATAAAACATAACTTTTACACAGGAACGTCCAGAAACAGAGTTTTTACGTAACTTCTTATGAGGTACTATTCAAGCAAATGCTCAGTACGGATCATCAGCTTGCCTCAATAAGGGCTTCGTATGTTATCCCAAAATCTTAACCCTTGGCAAAGTTCCTACGGAAGCCAAAATCTCCCTACAGTGAAACTAGATAGTTTCTGAGTGACAAAAATATAGGATGCAAAAATATAGGTTGTAACTAACTCCACCAATATAAAGAAGTATTTGGGATCCATGCAATGGAGTGTAAGAGTAATTCCACCCCAAGGCAACACATGGGTTTGGTGAGACATCTCCTATTCCTGCCAGGAAGAGAATACCCAATGCACAACCATGAGATCTGCCATGCAGGATAAAAAACATGGCTGAACCTTCATACCTTACCACAAAGATCCTATGCACAGCTGCCTTTACATCCAATGTTTTACAGAGACTTAGCCAGGGGATCAAATGAAGATGAAGCCCAAACTCTTCTCGGGTCTAAGGGGACTCTTTCTCCCATTGCTCTAGTCCAACACCGGTACCAGCACATTCCCAGTGGAGTTATATGCAGCCACCTGACCTCACATGCCAAATGATGCAATGTGCTGTTCCTCTGAAGTGATGGTGAATGATATCATGCTATCTGATATGGTCATCAACTATTATTTAGTAAGTTGCATATGATCAGTCATGTGTCCAAAATGCAGTAAAAAATATCCTTAGAGATTGCTTTGAACATTTGTTACTCTTGCCTTCTTTGGAACTCAACAGCAAAACAATAAGCAGCCAGGCACTTTGGTAAGCCTATTGCTAGCCAAGTATCTTTTTCTTTAAGTAAATGCAGTGCAAAGTATTAAAGCAATGAAAAATACTGTGGGCTGGCAAGCATGCTACCTCCCTCTTACGTAAGTTCAAATTTAAAAGAAAGTGGAATTTTAAGAACCAAGCATGTTAAAAGCATATTGGAAAAAAAAAAGTTTAATGCTCTCTTTCTTTCTCTCTTCCCTCTCCATGCACACATCCCAAGGTGCAGAGTGTGCTATAACTCTTACTTGGACTGAAGTGAATGAGAATTTGCCTAAGTAAGAACAGTTGGTTCAGGGCCAAAGTATTAACAACAGCAATGTAAACATACGCAGACAAAATTAAATTTCACCCAGATGCGTTCCCTGGTGTTTCATGTCTACCTGCATCCAATCAGTGGATTTAGTCCAGTGTTCCTGTGTGCGTCCTGTGTGTACATGTACATGGGCAATATACCAAATTACAAACTAGAAAGCATAAGAACATGCTAAAAACCTGGTCATGTACAAAATGCCACCAGTCAAAATCAAGCGCAAATGCTAACATTTTCAATTGCTTTGCAACCCTTAGACATGCTGTGTCCTCGTCACAGATGTCTGGCTCCACTGGGATGGAGGGGGAGAAGCATTAGGGCAGAGCAGCAGCAGTTTTTGGTGTGAAACAGAGCCAGACCACGTGTCCTTCCTGAGCTGTACGAGGCCACATTCCCCTCTGACATGAAGCCAAGCAGCCTTACCAGGGTTGAGACAGATTCTCCCTTTTAACCATAACACTAAGTCCAGATCAGAGAGTGCAGCGATCGGCAGACAAGACCGCGTTGTTGTAAGAAGTCTGTATTTCATTCTGAAAAAGCTATCTGTGCCACCATCACAGAAACCCCTAGCCACATTCTTCATTTAGGATTACATTTCTGCTGAAACACTCAACACTCAATGTTTCTTCATTGGCAGACAGAATAATTTTACCTTCATACTGCTTCACCAAGAAGCTGCATACTAAATATTCATTTGGGGGCTTTTTACAACTGCTTTTTCTTTCAGTTCAGCATGTTTTAAACACTGAGATGAGTTGGGAAGTAATTTTTAACTCAGTTCCTATGTAAGAGAAAGTCCTCTTTATCCAGACAATGAGAATACCTGACTAAAGGACGGGATCCAGAATGGACAACAAATTGACTCATATAAACTTTCTGTACAAAATCAACATGAGTGAGGAGAGAAGATTAAACAAGCCCTTTCATTTACAGCAGCTTGTAAAGAAATTATTTTTAGATAGCAGGAAACATAACACTGCTACGCCGAAGATCAAAAGATCCTATTTTACAGGCACCTCAGATGCTTTGTTTTTATTACAGGCAGAGCGCAGGCAAATGCCACAACATACTCTGTTTAGCTACCTGAAAATTTTGCCCTAAACCTATGGAGGAGCCTGGAGTTTGGCCAGGGGACATGGCCAGGCGACAGCTCGCTGGCGAGGCAGCGGGACCAGCAGCCTCCTCCCACGGACCAGCTGGGGAGCTCCAGAGACCCCCTGCAAAGCTGGAGCCTGGGCTCCTTTGCCATGAGATGGTCTGAATTCAGTCCCTAAATAACTGCCCTAACCCAGGGGCAGTAGATCTTCAAGCCCTCCTCTTCGCTGTCTACCACGGTGCAGCTAAGAAACACGGTTCATGAGAAAAGAGCAAATAAGCAATAGGGAGTGTGAGTCTTTGGTCGCTATGGTCACCCCCACGCAGAGGGGAGACACAGTCCCTGCTCTCCAAAGCTGCTTTTCATCAAGTGATTCTGCAGTGCAAAATACAAACCTACTCCACGGCAAACTGTGCCAAACGGGGACATGGGTGAAATTGTAATATCTCACTTTATAATGCCCAGCTAGAGATGCTTAACCAAAACCACGTTTTATTCATTCCTTCCTACTGTAAATATCCCCTTAAGTAAACTCTGGAAAGAGGGAGGAAATAAAGGATTAGCCATGTGGACTATCTGTCTGAAAGTCAGGAACCATGGAATTAGAATTTCCTTTCTGACAGTGACTCACCCTGGGGAATGAGACACTTTCTCTCAATTCGCCTGTGTGGAGAAAGGGTATAAATTCACTTATTCATCTACCTCAAAAATATGGGTTGTGGTGGAAGGATAATTAAGCACTATCTCCACTGCGTTTCATCTCTGAATGACTTGCTGTGGGCCCAATCTAAAGTCCACAAGAGTTGACAAAGAGGCTGCTAATGACTTTGGTGGGCTTTGGATCAGGCCCTATGTAACAGCTCTATTTTAAAGTCTAGCAAATGTGTATGTTTGTTACACTCGGAAAAAGCATAAATATGTAAAACCCAGCCTCACATCTGGCTTACATTACAACAATAGCACATTTAATTCATTTCAGAGATCCCAAGATGTACAGCTGGCCATAAGGGTTATGAGGCTCCTTCAGACCACCAGTTACAACCACATTTCTGGTGCAACCTCAGCCCATGCTCAGGGAAAGGCCATTCTGGTGCTTGGCTGGATGGGCAATACTGGCTGCATCTGCGCCAGACAGCCGGGCAGTGCCAGCCTCTCCTCTCACCCCAAGGCCAGTGACAAGTTCTGGCCACCACTGCACACCTCAACTCTCCTGCTCTCTGAAACAGCAGAGCCGCCTACAAGAAGTCTATAGGAAAAAGCCTCTGGATTAATTCTCAATCCTACCAATTTAACACTGGAGCCAGATGAGCTACAATGCCCCCCACACAGGGCTTTGCCCTTTTTAGCTTCCTGGCACTGCTGTAGCTTCCGCGTCCTCATGCTCCATGGGTATAGTGAGATCCTCAGCCATGTTCATCTGAACGTTTCATTCTTCTATACTCAAAGCTTAAAATTAGTCTGCGAGAAAGCAATATATGAATGTATTTTTATATACAAAGGGTATTTTTATCAAGGAATAGTTACCTGCAGAGGACTAGCTAGTGGCCTGTTCCTAGGTACTGCAAATGTTTTGTGAAAACTACCATCTTCTTCAGACACGGGCATCTTTAAAATGGAGCTGGTAAGAAGATTCTGAACAGGAAAAGGAAAAAAACCAACACGTTTCCAGTAACTCAAGAGAACAATCTGAATTTGAATGTATTAAAAGCAAACTCAGCCTGACTGCAGGGGGTGCAACACTGGGCACGGTCACAGACAGAGTGCTCAGCCTGGGAGCAGACCTCAGCCTCGGGTCCCTGGGACTTGGCTTTGCAGAAGCATTGTCACATGCAAAGATTTTTCATCCAGTGAAGCTCCCAAGTGCAAGAATAACAGTAACATTGAATAGTCCCAGTGAAGCAAAGGGAACCATGCTCATGCAAGGTCTCCTTTGCACAAACCAAAACAGACTCTCTCTTTCTTTTACTAGTTTTAACTCTGTGACCTAGTCATTTCTATACACAGGTGCAGGCATCCTTCAAGTGCAGGCTCATTACAAGGACTGTGGGCTGCACAATGACTGCAGCTTCTGCTACTTTCTATAGGCATTACAGTGATCTAATTAAGTGCGGGATTTTGCTTCTTATGCTTAATACAGAAAAACTATATGGAAATAATGAATAATGCCTACTTGTGAGGAAGGTCAGCCAAAATATTTTCTCTCTTGCATTTAAGAACTGAACAGGGATGTAAAACAGAAAAATCATTTGGTGGTGTTAAAACTTCCACTTACTGGCACATCTTCCATAGCAGACGCATGTGTAAAGAGCTGAGTGTTCAGGTTTTCTCCTTCCCAGTGATTCGAGCAAAAAAAATTTCCAGCTTTATCTGTTGGAGACTCCACCTGAAAGCAGGAAAGGCACCATGATAAAAACCAGTACCTAACTGACCAGAAGGAGATTTATCTGTCAGTTGCCTAATAAATTGAATAAATATTCTTCACAGCCATGCATAATGCATGTCTACAGTACTGTCTTTTACAGCACCCTTGCTCTTTGCAGAAGAAAGAAGTTCAAGGTTCTCAAAAAAATCCCCACTTAATAAAACTTTGAATACTTGCACTCAGCACTTTGTCAGTATTCAGGAGTTTAATCCCCTAGAAAGGATCGAGAATATATGTATTTTTAGAATTTTAGTGACAAAGTAATACAATGCAATGTCCTCAAATGTTCAGGTTTCTAAGTCACTCCATGGAGCTTGGTCCCTGTGGGGTTCTTCTATAGTTTCCACCCATATTAGAAAGATTCAATCCAAATTCCTGTCTAATTTTTTTTTTCTTTTTAAGTTTCAAACGAAAACTGCATTAGAACGGCCCAAGCAAACCCCTGCTGAAAACAGCAGAAAGACTTCTATGGAAATCAATGGGAGATGAATTAGGCATGCCTAGTATACTATATAGAACTGACACTAAGATCTTGGGGCTCACATGAAAGAAAAACAGACACAGCTATTTAACAGAAAAGGTATTGGTATAAGTTTCTCAGCGAAGAGTGTTGAATTAAATTGCCTCAGGTAAGTTTGAGATTTACCTCTTGTTTGATTTTCTTCAGCAAAGGGGGTCCACTTTCATGTAGCCCAGCTACTATTGCAGATTCCTCCGACTCCTGCTTGATAACGTCCTGCAGATCTTCTACAAGATGAGTCGGAGTTTGAGGCTGAAAGGAAGAAACGTTATATGCAAGTCCCAGAACATCCCTCTGCACCAATATCAAAGCAACTTTTATCATTGTTTCCTTCTTACCAGCATCTTCAAAGGACCATATTTGATTTCCTGAGCTGCAAGTGCGCTTTTGAATGGAGTGGGTGTTCTTGGAGAGCTCTCTAATATCGACCTCTTGATTGCTGGAGTTCTGAAACTTTAAAAAGAGGGAGAAAAACTTTAAACGAACATGCTTGGAAATCTTACCTCTTTACAGAAATACACGCATACAGGCAGCAGATGCTGTAAGACTCGGACAAATATTTTCCTGCAATCCTACAATCCATTTTGCTTTTCTGGCAGAACACCTATTTCTGTGATAAGGTGGAATGGCTTTACTTAAAAAACTGGTGAGTCTATGTGTGTGATTGTTTTGTATTAATAAACTTACCTCCACAGTTATAAAGTGGAAGTTTTACTCCAAACTAAGAAAAATCTGAATCTGTTAGCAAACAACTCTGCAGGAAACAGAGTGACCCAGCACTTTGGTTGCATGCGAACCTAAAGAAATGAACCCTCACGAATCTGACAAGACAATGGGATAAAAGACTTACATGTGATTTTCCTTCTGAGCTTTGAAAGTCTGGTCCCTGTGGAACGGCGTGGTAACAGCCATCTTATGGCCACACACCGGCGTGGAAGTTAGCGCAGGGTTGTCCAGGTTCAGGTTTTCGTGATTGGATGAGGTGTTTAAGAACTGCAGGCAGGGAAAGGAAAAATCAACAGGAACATCCAGATTACAATGTTGACTTCTTAAGTTGATGTTATTGAACAAAAGAAAAAGAAATTATTCCCTTCTGATTGATGTAAGTGATTCTCTTGACCCTACGATGCAGGTAGGTGTATATGGGGTACCTGACTATGCAGCAAAACAATACTCAACAGTTTGGCTGGAGCACTGAGGAAGCCAAAATGAGCATTTCTAGAGAGGGAAGTTATAAAGAAAATGACACTCCATTCCAATGAGAAACACTCTCCACCACTTTAAGAGCCACATCGTAAAAGCCTGATTTGGATTTTCTGCAAATAAATTTTAACTAATATTAAGAGCAGTGTGCCCAAGTAAGAACTGGGTGAAAATTAATAACGGGTGTTTCAGGAATAAACCCGCAGGAAATGGGGCTAAATTCCACCAAGATTTATATAGGGAATCTAGGTGCTTTCAAGGCAGTACATAAAGCGTTTATGACAGGAAAATAAATTTCCTATCATCTGTCTCAAAACAAAGTGCTCTGTTTTCACAGCATAAAATGAAAACTGCCACCTGTGATGGGTGCGTGGAGTGTTTTGGAATGGAAACAGCTGACTGAAAAGGAGGCAGCAGTATTAGCCTGGAGAAAATTGCTTTTGCATGAGTTCTACCTAGTAACCTAAAATACTGTTTCCATTTCTAGTGTCTACAAATCTGTGAGTGTAGTGGTATCCTTTATTCTGACAACGATTCATCGTATTACCTTCTAGACTCAACTTGCATCAGATTAAAATATACTTTATAAAAATATGGCATGTAAGAAAATACGGATTTCACTAGGTAATGGGAGGTACAGTGGGACATCATTACATGCAATCTTTTACTATCCTTCACGAAATAGTGTTTCTCTGACTTCAAGAACTAAAGCCAAACCAAGGCAAAACCAACACAAACAGACAAACAAAAAAAACCAAAACACTTTTAAATAGTGCTACAGCTGTGAAACAAAGCAACCATCAGCAGGAATTTGGAAGTGCACGCCAGGCCATTTTAACAGGCCATTTTCCTCCTCATTCCTATTCCGCCCCACCCCACATGGCCCGGGGTTGAGGATGGCGAGCCGTGATTTGAATTTTCTGGTTGTCAGTTTGTCTCACAACCTGAATGCTATTTAAATGCAGTTTGGGGTTTTCTAGGTCAATGAATCATACTGTAAGTGGACAGAGATGGAAAGTATTACAAATGATCAGAAATGTTAAACTCTAGTAGTTGAAGGAGTTAACAGCAAGAGCAAAGCAAGCAATCGTACTCCCCTACAAAAATGATCCAAATAAAAAAAAAACCCCGAAGCCCCACAGATGAATTTAAAATAAGAGAATCAACAGTTAGCTTGCTGATGATCTAAACTCAGTGGTGAAGACTAAGAGGAGTGAGAAGATTCAAACACGGAGTGAAATCAACAAGCGCAACGGTAATTAGTCATTTGTTCCAAAGGATTAGTTTCTAAATTGTTAAGGCTGGGGTGACTTTTGAGAATTAGTAACATCTGTGCAGAAGTCTTGATCTACCTGCGAGGGAGAGAAGGGCAGGCTTTTGACAGGGGAGCGCTTAGGAGGAGTTGAGCTGCTGACGTCAGCTAGGACCAAGGTGCTACCGTGGCCACTGGCTAAGGGGCTGGAGTGCCCTCTCCTTTTGCGAAGAAGGACCCACGGAGCCGCGCTGCCCTGTGAGGCAGACAAGGACTTTGGTGAGCCAGGAGAGCCCTGACTCGACATGATTTTGCTCAAGTTTGTGATGGGCTGTCCTTGAGGTCTACAAGCACTGGCCCCTCTTTGCTGAAGCTGCGCGACTTTGCCTGAGGGAGCTTTGCTAGCCGAAGTGTCTGTGTCTTCAAAGAATTCAAAACTGCTGAGATCACCCCATGATGAAGGATCCTGAAACAACGTGGGAGGCACGGAGCTATAAGACAGTATATAGTGCCACCTCATGAAAATACAGCGCTAGGATAACCAACAGCCCGTAACCAACAACAACGAAGTCTTTCCCAGTTCAATTTGGCTTGACTCTGTTTATTTGAGTAGTAACACTGTGAACGCTTATTTGTGTTTTCAATATATACCTTGATCACATCAAACTGTCTAACATCCTAGTGGCGTTGCTGGCAACTGAGTCCCTAAAGAAACAATGAGTCAAGTGATGTCCTTACTACCTACTTGCCCAGAGTTTTCTGCTTAGTATGAAGACAGTGCTTTTCACTACCAAAAATTGCGCGCATTGGGCTCTAAGCCAAGACTGGTCTCCTCCTAACCTGCACGCCTGCTCTGGACATGCCGAAAGGGACGTAATGCTGCATGAAGCAGACACCTCTGCTGCTGAAGGAAGGTGTCACCAACAAATGTATTTTAACATGCCACTTCTGTTACACGTAGTATCCCAGACACCAGAATGAGAAAAGGCTCGTGTCAATGTCAGTCAGCTACTTGGCATTTAAAATGCCTGTTTCCAGTTCTTCACATATGCCAGGGCAAGCTCCTTAAACTTTGAGAAGCAGCTGTTAAAACCACAACAAAAACTTTTAGAAAATGATGCAGATACATGAGCAGCCACACATAAACCTATGGCATGTGTCACTTCAAATATAAGTAAGTATCATTTCATTGTTTAAAATCTGTCACAGTGTCTCTGATTTTATTTTAAGGAGACTTAATATCGAGAGACCATTTCAAGCTCCTGTTGTGCAGTTTGCTAACAACCACACTCCCATACCACGATGTAGCAGGAAAGGGAGACACCCACAAAAAGCATATGCATCCACACTCCAGGGCTTCATTTATGAGAAGCCACATTTTGTTCTGTCAGAAGCTAAGCTTCAGATCTTGTAGCAATTAGAAGTTACTCGGAAAAAAAACCCCACCACATTTAGGACTGTCCCAGCTCCTCTCCCCTTACTCCTTGACCACGCACGAATCCACCTGAGGCGGCGAGTCTACTTACGGAGTCTATTAACTGGAGTGTTTCTGCAAATTCTAAGAGATTCTTAACATTATCCAGGATGTTGCTCTGGTGAACAATCATGCACCGTGCAGGGGATGCACTTTCCTCAGGTAAGCAACCGTGATCCACTGGTGGAGATGGAGTACAGTGGTGATGTTCCCCCAAACAGGAAACAGGTGCATTGTCACCACTGGTCCTGGTACTGTCAGCAATTGTGGTGCTGTGCCAGCCAGGGTAGTTTGATGTGTGGTTCTGGGTCTAAAGGAAGAAGAAAAAACAAAAGAAAAGGGGGGGGGGAAGGCAGAAGGAACTTAGCAATGAAGTTGCACAAGGTGTCAGATGCCACTGGAGGAAAGATAAAAGTAGTTGCATCATCATCTAAAAGCTTATGCCTATGAAACAATTGTCAAGATGTTTCCTTTCATCAGCGCAAGATCTCTTTTTAAGTAATATTGGCATTGTGTTTGTTATCCCAAAGTTACCTCATAATTTACTTCCAAGATTATGAACATATATCATTACTAACACATAATCAATTCATACTGTGTTACTCCAAAAGCTCAAAAAGTGTCTGCAAGTCATTTTCTGTGAGAAGCAAGAAACGGCAGGATTTCCCTACTGAGCGCTCAGCACTGTAGAAAGCTAAAGGGTTTAAGAGTTAGAGTTGCTTTTGTTTGCTTATCTCCTTTTCTTCTCCTATCCCTGTCTAATGCTACAGCTTACACCAATGCAATGAAGAGGCTGTCAAATCAACGTGGTTAGGAAAGCAGAAGAACAAATTAACAGAAGTTTCTTTCCAGTGTGATCATGCAACAGAAGAAATTGCAAAACATTAACTAAAGTTAAAAAGTGGCCAAACTAACGTATCATGCATGCAGTTGTTTTATTATTAATTTAAATATTACCCAAAAAAAGAATCTGCTGGCTATCACCTATCTTCAAAAATGATTTGGGGATTCTTGGCTTTGGTGATGGTGTTAAGTAATTACGTAAGGGTTTTCACACATTAACATCCAATGGCATATACAACGAAGTGTGAGAATTCAGTAATAGCCAGCATTTGCTCCACACATGCAGTTATGAAGAATCTAACATTATTCAGAGAAGTAAAACAAACTGTCAAACATGCACCAAGTCTGAAGCTTACAAAGTGTATAAAACACAGCTGAAGGAAAGAATACAACAGAGAGGAAAAATCTAATGTTACAGGCACTACATTTTCATCACATGAACCATTGCACACTTTTCAGAAACGCAGATCCCACTGATTTAAGATCTGTGGGATTTTTCATTTTCGTACAATCTTGTTTCCAATATTACATCACGTTACAGAGCCCAGCCCTGCTCCCACTTTGCAAAGTAAAATACCTGCAAATTGTTTGCTTTTCTTTTTCAATAAAAGAACTTATGAAGCAAATACAGATTATATATGTGCTATGTTTCATCCTTTTAAAACGGAAATATAGAGCCTTGATTAGTATCGAAGGCAGAGGGGGAGTAAAAAGTTAAAAAGACAAGCACTGGGGTAATGCTGCTATCCCTCCATCCAAGCACACAGTGACAATCTTACTGGTAATGCCTGCTGCCCTTTCAGTTCATTCTCAGTCGACATTAGTAGCAACTCTAATTCCTTTATTCGTTTTTCTTTCTCAGGGTCTTCATCATTATAGTGTCTCTGAAATTAAGAGTTAAGGGAAAAGAAAAGATAAAGGTCTGATAGGATGTAGCAACTAAAATGCTTATGGCTTGCCGTCCTGTGGTTATAACAGCCAAATTAAGACTCAAAGATGAAACAAACATCAATTGTGTTTTCCACTACCAAAGTCCCTGCTGAATTTCAGTACAGACATTTGAAATGGAGAAAGTGGAAGCTATCATACCAGATGTCAACAACTTTGTTTTAAACCCACTTCAGAAGAAGCAATTATTAGCCATGTTAGAACTCCCCCACCTTCCCCATTTTCTCTCTTCACCACACTTATTACATTAAAATGTTTCCTTAATGTATGATGTCTGCATTTTGACTTATCAAATGTTTAACAAATTGACTTTTGAAATGAGGTTCAAGTTATCTACCTGAATAGCTGCAGCAGCTGGCTGAGGAACATTGACAATATTTACATGCAGTGCTACTGGATATGGGATCTGACCAGGGACCTAGGCCGAAAAGCAAAAGACACTAAAAGTTATTATTTCTATCATATTGTCTGCCTGCATTGTGAATTTGTGTTAAACATACTTTGGTTTTAGGTACTTAATATTTAAAATCTATGGAAATGAAATCGCAAAAAACCCAACAATGTTTACAAAAGAAGTAAACAGGTTTTTAGGAATATGACAGTGAGCATTACAGAGGAAGAAAGAAAATTCATATATGAAATATCTACCCTTCCAGAATGAGAAAAGATGAACAATTTATAGATGCATTTGTAAGACTTTTCTAAATTGAAGTGAAAATGCAAAAGATGCAATTTCTTATTATCTAAAACTTGACAGCGTAACTCTCTGAAGCAGCAGCCTGTTTCATTATTAATCATTAATAGAAAAGGAATCAGATTAAAAACAATGCTTGTTTACTTGGTTCCAACAGGCAACCCACAAACAGAATATTACTGAAGGGAATGTGGGAGATTTTCACATAGAACACAGAATTAACCAGATTCAACTGATTTTCGAGAAACGTAATATTCACCACTGTAAGAAACAGTACTGGAAACATGTTCACTGCTCACAAGACGTTAAAAATGCCAAACCCAATTCCACCACCTGAATGTCGGCAATCAGTTTGAAATGTAAATATTCTCATCACCGAATGAAGTCAAAGTCAAGGAAGTCCTCACCTCACATCAAACACACCCAAGTCCACCAAGACTGGGAGAAAACCCTTCGTGCTTCCTGAAATCAGGTATGGCTAAATTGCACCCACCTATTCAACAAAGCAAAACAAAAAAAAAAAACCAAACCACATTTTCAGGTGCTTACGTTTTGTGGCTCAGAGATGTGGTAGTAGGGGTAGTCACTGCTCAGCGGGGGCTGGCCGGCTACTGGCAGCTGTGCAGAAGGTGGGTTGTGAGCAAAGGCCATCAAGTGGTTGCTCTTCTGAAAGCCAGCAGCTGCTGAAGAGTGACAGGCTTTGGAGGACTCCTGCAGGTAGCCCTCCTGCTCAACCTTTCGGCGCATGGTGGAATTCCAGTGGTTCTTGATAGCATTATCAGTTCTGCAACAGAAATACATATGTTTGAGGAGTTTTAAAAATGAGCGTTTCCAATTCAGGCAGATTAATAGGCAGGAAACTGCTGTTGGCATTTCTGTTTAAACCTTGAGCTGTCCTCTGACCTTCCTCCTGCCCCCATCTTTACAAATCTCAACTTCTCAGGAAAGATGCTCAGCATAAAAGGTAAGGGAAAAGACAAATGGGCTGTGGTTGTTTATGTACTTTTCAAAGAAATCTCTAAGTCTTAGGCCCTCAAACTGTAAGAAATTAGTAACTGCAGCTTCATCTCATTCCCATGAAGTGAGGTGACAGCAAAGGCTAACAACCCTTTGAGGCTACCCTGAAGGACTGCCAACATCATCTTCCTAAGTCTTAATATTACAGTGGAGTTTTACTGTATCTCACTGCTGAAAAGAAAGACTGTGGAGAACAGCTGTGAAAAGAGTACCTTCCAAGCAACTTTCCAACTGGCCATCTAGACAATGACAACATCATGCTATACACACAAATTCAGTAAACAAAGCTGTTGGGATTTTTCTTAGCTGCAGAAAAACTGAGATTCAAATTCTCACATACATGAGTCAGAAAAAAACAAACTTATCAAGTCTGGGAGACTTTAAAAGTATGCTTAGGAACAGCTCCTCTATTTGAAAAACATCACCACCACACAGTATCACGGATGTGTGGAAGCTACAAAAACTTTCCAAGGGGTAATTCCTTTCTTGTTTTCTTCTAGAAGGTGAAAGCAGCCTAGGGAATGCCTGCTTAAAGGGCTACCATGATCTTAGGCACTGTATTTAGATCTTGAAGATGTTTCACCAAATAGCAGGAATAAAAATGGGAAGGGAAACCTCTCCCTTGCTTACATTATTTGCTTGACTACACTTTATATTCAGTCACTTTTACTGCAGAGCGAGTAAGACACTGAATCTCTGACATTATATGCAAGCTGTGCATAAGCTTTCAAGGAGACAAGTATTTCCAGGACCAGAGTTTGAGGAAGTCAGTTTCTCCTGTTTTATACACGGATTTTTAACAAGTCAAAATCATCTGGACAATTCAGGAACAATTACAAATGTTGAAGCAGCCTTCTCTTAAATCTTTTTGAATAAACAGACTGGATTTCATGTTGAAGGTATACCCTTAGCTGAATGTAAATTATGTTCCACTTGCAGAGCCTGATCCTTCCCTGTTAAATCAATTTAAATTTTGACAGTTATTGCAAGCACAAATAAGACTGCACAGACATTTAGGAAACTGTTATGGTCTTGCTCTAGTTACTGGGGTTTTTTACTTTCGGCAAGCATTAAAAGCATGTAAAAATAGCATACTGTTCCATGTACTGACCAAACAGCACAGTTCCCCACTGAGAAAAATGCACAGCGATGTCACTGGCTTTCCAGGTTTTGATTCCAAAATTTTTTGATTTATAAAGTGCAGCCTGAGGCAACTGAAATGGACTGCTCAGAACTGCAGCTTTTTCCTTTTTTCCTACTTAAGAGCTAAAGGTACATGTCATTACCGTCCAGGCAGCAACTTTGCAATTTCTGCCCATCTGTTTCCCAGCCTCTTGTGTGCCTGGTAAATAATTCTATCTTCCTCTTCTGTCCAGGAGGTTTTCTTCACTTCTGGATTCAAATGGTTGTGCCACCTCTCCCTGCACTGTTTTCCAATCCTTCCCTTCAAATGCTTAGCAATGACAGACCAGCGCTTTGGACCGTATTTCTGCACGAGTTCTATTACCTTCAAAGAAGGACATAAAAACTGCCTGTATTTAACGATGCATAATGAATCAATAAAATTTTTCTGTGGTGGAGCAATATTTTCAACAATGTTTCTCAAAACTGCCATGGTAAAACTAACACACAATTTAGGTTCCCCACTTCCCATTTATACTTTTACCCAAAAGGAAAAATCTGCTAATAGTTAAGGCATTTCTAGACTGCAATTCTGCTTTACAGTGTTGTAAAGCAACATTAATTAATTTGAGTAGAAAACTTAGAAAACACTACACAAATACTAGGCATTGATACTGATAGGATCAGTTTGCCTCTGGCCATATTAGTGTTGAGACCACCGAAGTCTCTAGGAGTTTTGCCCCAACTCATGAAATCCACTAGTAAGGCATTAATCAGACAGAAAGGAAAACTGATTACCCTTTGATCCTCCTCTTTAGTCCATGGACCTTTAATAAGTTCTGGGTTTAGTACCTTCTGCCATCGGTGCTGGCACTGAACATCTGTCCGATTCTAGTGAAAAGTAAAACATGCAGAGTAGATCATTCTTTAGAGAAGATGAAAGTAGAGTGATTATGCTCTTACCTAGGTACGCTTGTTCCCAACATATTTCACTGCCAGCTACAACTACTAAGCCATATGGAGTGATACAGTACGTCTGAGAAGTGCTCAGCTATGTTTGCTCACCGAACTAGATAAGATTTCCATCATTTCTGCAGTGAGGACTGTATCACCAGAACTACACAAACTGAATCTTCACCATCTACACAATAGCTGTCATGTTTTCACAGGCATTATTTCTACAACAGCCTAAGTGTTCACAAAGCAATTATCTTCTAAACCATACTTAAAATTCATCAAAGCTATTTTTTCTCTGTGCTGAGGCATTTTCTTTCAGCGTCACATTGACCATCTACTGTGCAACACGCCGCCATCCCCCATTTTTGCTTGTTTGATTTTTTCCAACCCTTTCTGAGAAGTGAAAGGAAAATTAAAGGTAAGGGTTTCCACAACATTCTAACTAAATTTCTGAGGTCTCCATCTGTGGAGGTTTTATATCTCCTGCAAAAACCTAACTATAAAGCAACCACTCCCCTCTCCCTTACTTGGAAACCTCTGATAAAGGGTTGTCACTAGAAGTGGAAACAGAAACCAATATCCACCTACAGGAAGGAAATTGGCAATGACTTTCCAGTCTTCTGTGCCATTCTGCTCCACAAGCTTCTTCAGTTTCTCATCCTGAATCATTAAAAAAACCAGACATAATTAATATCGCAATCTCTTATAATGCAAATGAAATACATTTTAAAAAGATTGTGTCTTTCTAAGCTTTTTATGCATCTATTTCTGCTTCCTGAGTGCAAGGGGAGGTGGTCTGTAGTCTTCTCATATTTTTAATCGCCTAAATCAGGACATTTTTCTACTCCTGTGGATTTTGGTAGGTTCTTTACTGTGCTGCAGGAGAAAAACTGACTTTTTCTGTGCTGTCCTTTGACTCGAATTATACATTCCCATTTTACTGCTCAAAGCAATGTAACTGTTATTATTGTACTGGATTTACAGGAGGGCATGGACGTTTTGATGCCAGGCATCAGAATAACAATGAAATTCAGTAACACTCAGGCACCCAGCTGTCTGGGGACCTCTGGAAATCACAGCCTTAAGCTTTATATGTCTTGAAAGTAATGGGAGTTCCAGTAATTTGCTCATTGCCTATCTGTGTACGATGAAAGCACAATAAAACTAATGGCTCCTTTTCGCTCCTGATCACTGTGAGGGAATTTTGCATACTTGCAATAGCAAGAAATTTGGCCCAGTATTTTTAATGATAAAGCCAGAAATAGAGACCCTAAAGACAAAAAACCCCAATCTCATGTACTGGGAAAGATCTTGATAGTGTAAAACAAGCGAGAACTGCCCCAAGAGATAAGAGGATGGGAGCAACCCTCCCCTTCCCCGGTTAGAGCCTCCCAGTACACTCCCAGTTCATGTGACAGGAAAGTGGCCATTGGGCTCCACAGCCATCCCTTCCTCCCAGGCCACATCACAACCACGTCCACCTCTGTAAAAGCAGACTACAATTTAAAAAAAAAAAAAAAAAAAATGCTGGCAGGAGGTGACCTGCCACTGTTTATATATCAATATACATTGTTAGTGAGGAGAAAGTCAAAACATCACTTAAGAACTGTATTAATGTATTTCACAATAAACTCAAACCAGTTAAATGGCCACAGGATATCCACCTGGCAAAGGAGTTTGATAACCACAATTTACCCAGAAAGTCAGCACAAGGGTATCGTGACTAAAACACATTCTGACCTTCAAAACCAAAATACCTCTTGAATGCTCAATTTTGGTACTGCTGGATTTCTTTCTTCCAGCTTTTAATTTATTTCCACTCAGAATCATAACGCTGCAATTAAGGTGCAAATTTCAAATGGCACAAAAGGACCGCAGCAGTTTCTGCCACAGTTGTTTGCTGCTGTGGGACACTGAACACACGTTAGTTCTCGCATAGCAACCGTTCTCAAACAAAAAGAGGCAGCAGTAACAATCAAGCATTGCTGCAGGTGACTCTGAATCTGTTTCTCCAACAGGGATTACACAGAGACTCACGTACCTGTAATGTAGACCTTGGTGGACATAAAAAAATGGTGTTTATACATTTTATTTAAAAGATAAGAATGACCCTCAAAGTTAAATAAAACACTGAATATAGCCAATGGGTTGAAAACATTGTCCTCATTCATATACATGGGACTGTCACTGAAGTTAGTTTGCAGGCAAGCAACTCCGAGAACAATGATGTGATCCATGCTCTCTCTGTCTTTTTACATGCAGCGGATGAATGAACTCGGATTTACCTCTTCACGGGTCCACCTGGTTTTTCCTAAGTGACGTTTTCCAGTCTTAGGAAGCAGACCATCATAATCATGATCATACATCTCAACATCTTCTTCATCATCGTCACTACTATATATACTGCAGAAGGAAACACAGCGAGACACAGAGTGGAACATGAGGACTTGAGCTACTTAATTACAAAGCACAAAAACCCCACTACAATCCTTACAAAGGTTACACAGATAAAAGTTTTAAAACTTGCACAACAAGATTTTGTTCTGCATTATGTTGTTCTAGTATTCTGAACTGGTTCTGCTGTTTTTGGTATCCACAGATACAAGCAAAGGGCTGGCAGCCTTCGTATTACTGTGCATGTTTAGACCTGCTCTTAATGTTAGATCGGTGGTGAATTACACATTTGGCAAACTTTCAACCAATGAAGGCTTCAAATTAAAATACAATGTTTGGGACAATAAAGAGAACTAGAGGCTATGTCCATTACACAAGCGCATGTTGAAAATCTTTAACTCGTGCCGTACAGTCTGAAAAATATTAGTGGTTTTGTATGTTTAATAGACCAGATAGCTATATCGTTCCCAAATAAAACAGACTGTGTATAAATATAAAAAGTTAAACAATAATAACCTTGTTTGAGAATATGGTTATGGACCTTATATGTGAAGGCAAAAGTTTCTCTACTTAAGTAAAGCCAGTAAAGTGGTAGCGTTAACATGCAATAAGCTCTAATATAAAATGTGCCTGCCATGTATGGGTCTGGACAGACCATGGCTAAGGACAAGTACATTTAATATCCTGCAACTAGCAAAGGAATGATTGGACCCTTTTATATCCTCCATTTCTCTAACTTATGACTTGATTACCTCTATTCCACTTCTAAATACCTCATGCTGTTTTTGAAATCCTCTGCTTCTCACCTAATTCATGACTAAGGGATTTCCCCAGAGGCTATCTATGGGTAAAAAGGTCTCTATTACTCTCTGCACAAACAGCACTTGCTCTACCCAGTTAACTAAAACTAAAAGAGAGTGCTTTGTAACAAGAGCTGTCTTTCTGGTGGGCAGTATTTTATTTCCAGCTTTTAAGATAGGAGCAGCAGTTCTGACACTTCAGCTCAGAGATGATAACCACAAGTGCTAGAAAGGAGACAATGTCACGCTCCGAGACTAAAAACTGTGATAGATCTGATGGTATGGTATGCTATGGTAGGTTAAGGTATGATGACTAAGACATTCAAATAAAGTTACTTTGTAATAAGATTATCAGGCATTGTTTATCCCATTAGCCTGTTTTCAGGAGACCACTTCTTAAACGAAGCTCCAGTGAAGCGCAGAGACTGTTAGTCAAGACGCAAACGTCTCCAAAATGCAAGCCGTTAAACACATATTCTTTTAAAGTACGCTGGGCTAATCACACCATACATCTCCAACCCTGTTTTCTGGCCCGCGGCATGTGCCATGAAAACGATGCTACCTGTAAGAAGTGTCCCAGAGCCTGCTTGCTGTGACGCGCGTGGCCTTCCCCGAGCCTCTGCCCGGTGGCCCCTGACGCGCCCACCCAGCCCATCGCTGCCACCCTCCAGTCGCCCCCACGGTGCCGCAGTCCTACAGCCCGCCTGGCCCCACGGCTCACTCCCCGTTCCCCGGCCCACCGGCCCACCTAACCGTCCGGGGTCAGCACTGACTGAAGCTCCCGCTCTTGCACGCCAAGGCGAGCGCGCGCCCGGAGCCTCCCGGGCTTCAGCGGGGCAGCCCGCCTGAGCAAAGCTCGCACGCTCCGGCACCAGCTGGCTCCTTCCCCTGCCGCCGCTCACAGAGTAGATTCACTTTTCTAAGTGACACACAGACAGCTGTGCGACTGCTCGTATGCCAAAGGAAGTTTTGTGGCTCAATTTCCAAGTATCATTTTGAAAATGAGTTTCGCAGAGAGTAAAAGCACCAGGTATGCATCCATCAGTGACGCTTCCTGCACGGTGACACGTTTCGGGCACAGCAGAGAAACGCCGCTCCTCCGCAACGGCAGCAGAACAGCAGCGGCGAACAGGTTAAAATTATTTCAGTGCGGTGCCAGTAATGTAACCGGTTTATTTAAATAACCGGGGCCTTGCTGGCACCGCAGAACTGAGCAAACCCGCTGTATTACCTGGGCTCTCCAGCAGGAGAAAAGGGCCCCGGGATTTCGGGACGTTCGGCAGCTGCTTTAGCCAGCAGGGCCCTCAGCGCTGCTCTAAAACTTTTTATTATTTCGCACCTCCGGCCGCAGCCCCGGAGCCTACCCCCGAGCGGCACGGCACGGCACGGCACGGCAGGGCGCTCCGCCCGGCCGGGGCAGGGGGTTGGAGCCCCGCGCCCG